ACGTTTGCCGTGTTGCAACCAACCACGCGGCAACAACAACAACAACAACAACAACAACAACAACGACAACAACAACAACGACAACAACAACAACAACAACAACAACAACAACAACAACGACAACGGCAACGGCAACAACAACAACAACAACAGCAGCAAATGATGTCTGACTCTGAGACGGGATCTCCACAGTACAACAACTTGTCCTCACCATCCTCCCAAATCCGAACACGTTTTTTGGGTGCTAGTAATCGACGTATGGGTATGGTACTTGATTCTTCCGGATCATCTGCTGTTGTCACCAGTCATCAACGTCAAGAAACGTCATGTCGTAACAAAGCACGCAACATGTCCTGCGATCCGGCATTTATACGTGGATTATCACATCACGATTCCAAAACACGAATTTACGATCGAGTAGCCCAGGATTTGTGCTCTGATAACATTGAATATGTTAGTCCAAAGCATGGATCCGTTGATTTGGTAGCAACGACATATTATGACAGACGTTCTGGAATGGTGCGTAATGAAAGACCATCCTCATCACAGCGCTGTTATGTCAACAACACAAGCTTCTCTTCATTAATAAGGTTTTTATTCTGATTTTGTTTAAATCCCAAATGTTAGTCTTTAAATGTTTATTTCCTTCTGCCAATTGATACTATGCAGTAAATAAACTATTCCGGATACTATGGGAGGTTTTAAGGACTCCTGCAGTGATTGCGAATTATAGAATTCAGCAAATATTTATTATTTTTAGGTCATCTTTTGAAAATTGTGGAAATTTCTTGAAGTTATCTTTTGTAGGCAATGCAAGATGTCTTCCTTATGCGCATACTTTGAAAAGTGTACAAATTTTAGAAGCGGTATGCAGTTTTCGGGTGATGTTCTTTCTGATAGTTCATTGGACTATGATGAACTAAGGGTTCTTCCTGGACACAATATTGAGTGTGATCACGGTCGAGGTGTAGCACCGGAACAATCGCGTTCCAGACTAGTCGTCAATGCCGATGGTTATTATGAACATATTCCATCAGATGGTTGGTTCTTTCCTTCACTATTTCACTATTTGTTTACTTGTTTACCTTATATCATTCAAATGTTAATTCATTTCACATCATTTCTCCCCATTTCCTTCATCCTTATTTTCAAATCCTGAAAATTTTGATGAGTTAAAATTCTTAATGTTCTGCCTTCTCTTATTATTCGTCATTCGTCACTAATTCATTTTAATAATTTGTCCGTATTGATGTGCAACACATTACATGACAGGTCTTATTCATAAAATATTAGTCAAATTTTTAAATCAAATGTGTGAGATAGAAACTAAATGTAGCTGGAAAGCCGAACTTATGCAATAGTTACCGATTTTAAATTGCAAAAAAAGCCATCGATAACTTCAGTCATTCAGAAAAATAATAAAGATAATATCATAGATATTCACAATACCTCGCTTGAACTAACGACGTTCTCGTCGAATCTTGATGATTCAATTACTGGTGGTGTTGCTGGTTCCAGTATTTCGGGATTGTCAGTACCTGTTGCTACATGTCATCGTACTGTATCACCAGAATCATCCTCCTCGAATACAAGTATCTCTAATCATCCTAATCGTTTAAAGGTTAATCTTTATTGTATCATGGAGAAGGAAATGGAGGGATAGAGATTACGATTTTTTGATAAAGATTGGTGGATTTTGGCGATTGCTTTTTTCATTTTGTGTTGGTTTTTCCAAACAGATGAATTTCGAGAGATTTTTATAGGATTTAATGTTTCGACCTTATTTTGAGGCTGCAATTTCTTCAGTATATATTTTGAGGAAAGTTTTTAAAAGGAACAAACAACGGAACTTTTCTCTATGGCAACTCTTAAAATTTCTTCATTCTCATTACATCATCTCTTTGCTTTGATTTTTGGTGGAAAAATAATATTTTCACCAAATTTATAACCGCAAATAATTATTTATGTTTTGACAATATTTCAGGCAGAAATTGATGGCCCAGGTGGGAAAAGGCTTGGATGCGGTAGCGGTTCTTCATCATTTAGCGCCGTCAGGAGTATGTCAGCGCAAAGATCACATTCCAGTTTGGAGAGTAGTGGGAATGACGACGAACTAATAACGCGGCAACATAGGTCAGGTGCTGGTGAACGACGTGATTCTGGTGTTGGCTCAAGTCTTTCGAGATCACCCAGGTTGGCTAATGATTTCACCTTATCTTTCTCTTATTTTGTTTCGCCATGAAGAGTGCCACAGTAGCAATAAAATTAAGCTTGGATCTTGCATTTGAATTCTGAAATTTTAAATTGCATTCATAACAGACTAAATTGTAAACGCGAAAATGGAATATATAGTTTAAATATTTGAATTGAGCAGTTTCGGGATGATAGAATGTATCAAACTTTCTGCAATGAAATTTCTCCATTTAGTGGACCAACAACACAACGACAGCGTAACTCATTGCTGTTCACGGCATTACATAATCGAGAAGTGAAATCGAAGCACTTGTCATCCAGTCCGTTGAATGTTTTTCATACTGATTACAATGAAACATTCATTAGTGACGTTAATTTGGCGCACTGTATGGATGCCCTGAGCGTAAGTGAAATGGTTAGTTAAACGTTGATTTGTCTTAAAGTCTTATCATCTTTCATTTAATATTTATTTGCTTGTATACTTTCTCATTTTTTAATTTTTATACCTGTTTGACTATTACATCTTAATAATTTCATATTTTTTTTACTCATTCATCCTCTTCCTCATTTCACTTTTATTAATTTCATTCCTGAACTCTTTTTCTCAACTCTTTTGTTGATTTTATTCTCATCTGCTTTACTTACTGTACCTAATGTTTGCTTTTATTTTATTTGTCACATCAATTTTTTTGTCAATTCAGAGCTCAGGAAGGAAACTGATAAAAGTGATTTTTTTGTCAATTTTTTTGTCTTTTTAATTAATCGGACTTTTTTTTCCTCAGCAACAAATACGAAAGTTGGCGTTTCTTAAACTATCAGTGATGATCGAAACATATGCTGGAAGCGGTATTAGGATTGGTGTTGCTGCCGATAGTAATGGTAGTGGGAGAGTAAGCAAAAGTTGGGCGGTACATAAATTTATTAGACGAATGCGCAACAATGACATCATTAATAGCAACAGTAAACATGGAAGTAAGTTCGGTGTTTTTGTTTAATGAACAACCTATGGATTGGTATGTGTAAATAGTTCCAAAACATGGTGACATGCGTCTTGAAACTTCTGTATGGCCAAAGACACCATTTGCAACACCATTTGTTGGGCGATAAGTTTGCAGCAAGCGAACTTTTAATGACTTGTAGAGAACTTTGAAATGGTCAGACAGTTATGAAATAATGGATCCGGAATGTAAATGTCTGAGGTTTGAGGTATTTGCTAATAAAAGAAATTCGAAGTACAATTTCTAATGAAGGTTCCTGTGTTGACTGTTTCTTTGTTTCTCTATTGCCATTGGTTGAATGACTTCGAGGGACTTTCTATTTTCAGCAGAACTTTCAACCTTCGGTTTACCGTTGGCAATCATCCAAAGTCGTTCTGGTTTCGCACTGCCTCGATTTATCTTGGAAATGATGCACTTTTTGCGTATCGCAGCTCCAGATACCGTTGGGATATTCCGAAAAAGTGGTGTTCGTTCACGAATTACCGAATTGCGAATGCTCTGTGATGTGGCTCCAGAAGCGGAGGTTTTTACAGATGGGAAACTTGACCCATCCCAGGTACTTTAACACTCCTCTCACATGGCTTAAAGTTATTTCGAAAGAATTAAGCAAGCGACAATTGACTAAGTTCATAGCAATTCATCTATTAATCTTTTTTGGATCGATCAATCTCTCGTGCCTAAAAAAACTTCGATTTTATTTCCTTTGTGGAATAAACTCAAAGAAATTTCATAATTTATCGTATTTGGATTTTATTATTTCTTTCGATATCATTTTATTTCGTGTATATCCGCTTTGGCATCATTTGAGGTTCACGATATAGCTGATCTTTTAAAACAGTACTTCCGTGAATTGCCAGAACCTTTGATGACCGCCAAATATTCGGAAACATTCGCTAAGATTTTCATACGTACGTTGTAGCATTTGTTAAATATTCCCACATTTCGATTTGTAAATTTTATTATTCATTTGCTTCCTTTGTACAAAATTCATGATTATTATCCACCCACCTAATGCTCCTTTATAGATATTCCGGTGGAAATGCGTATGGAAGCTCTTCAACACGCTGTTTTGTTGTTGCCCGATGAGCATCGGGAAGCGTTACAAACTGTGCTTTATTTTCTTCATGATATAGCTAAACATTCTGCAACTAATAGTGTGAGTTCCCCTTCCTACGGTTTTTGTTAACTGTCGATTTCCATTTCCGTATGGTCACTCTATTTCGTCGCAGAATTGCTTCCTTTTCCACCATTTAGTCTTTCATATTCTCTTTTTTCAAAAGTTTTGATCGAAGTGATAAAAAATCTGAACATTATTCAAATTTTATGTTAAATTTTCCAAGTCATTTTGCTCAATTTATGCAACATTTTGTTTTCAGATGACGCCGCAAAATCTCGCTGTATGTTTTACACCATCATTATTTCAATTATGTGGCTCACGCTTGAATAATATCAGTCCGACAAGGTTAGCATCTTTATGCAACCTTTTTGACAGAAAGATGAAACATAAGGAAAATGGTATAATCACGTGCCACGTAATCGTATCGTTTCCTTTATGCCCCACCTTCCTTGATATCCTTAGGTAATGGCTAGCAGATAGCAGGAATTCATTCTTGAATGTTAATTTTTACAAAAAATCTTCTGTTTAGACGTCACAAAACAATTGGAGCGGCAGGATTACCAACAGAGCGTGAAATTAAGGAATCACGGGCTGCACAAGAATGTCTGGTGCAAATGATCGAACACTGTACCAAAGTCTTCATTGTCCCAGCTAGCCCCGGATTTGAGCGTAACAGAGGTAACGAAAATTGCAAAGGCATTGAACCGGATGCACCATTTCTCACCGAATTGGGTTTATCCCAAGATGGAAATTACAAGACATACCTGTTGCAAAAAGCGAGAGAGCTGTTAAAGGTAAGCAGTTGACATTTTGATCTTCAGTTTATTTAAATTTCAAATATCTAAATTCCTTTCAAAATACCATATAAAATCAACCGTCGAAATTTTAACGTCTTATGTATTCTTCAGGAACATCGGGATCGATGGAAAGGTTGGATTGTTGAGGGTGCAGTGAATGGTGTTGAAATTTCGACTAAAAAATCAACCGATGGTCATCCATTGCGGTTCTTCCGCATTTGGGTTGATATCGAAGCACCGCCCAAAGAAATCCTCACTAGGATTGTTCGAGAAAGGTAGTTTTCACTTTTAGTTTGTCAATTTTGACAATTAATAAAGAATTTTTGGCTAGTACGAAGAAAGTACTAATAGGGCTGATTGAAGAAAGGAATAATATTACTGACGGGTTAGTTTAATATATAATAATCTGTTGTATATTACGGTAATTGTCTTTAAATTTAGGAATGTTTGGGATCCTCAAACAATCAACTGGAGAACAGTGGCAATACTGAACGCCGAAAATTGTGACGTTTTCCAGTATGTTATTAATGATACACCATCACATCCTACTCGTGACGCTACAGTGGTCAGGTACGTCCAACTATAATGTACAAAAAAGATTCTGCTTTTTGTTGATGCGTGACTGTAAACGAAAAAAATTGCAATTGATTGCAGGACATAAATACGTATACAATCTTTTTCGTGGTGGGAATTTAATTTAATTTCCAAGTGTTTCAGGTTGTGGCGTACGGATATAAAAGAATTGCGTGGCGGTTGTTTTCTGATAGAACGTTCAGTACATTCCAGTGAAACACAAATGTTGGGTGGTCTTTCTGTTGCTGTACTCTCATCAGAATTCCTCGTTGAACCGATAGCTGGTCGTTCCCGTGTTACCTATATCACGAGGACTGATTTAAGGTATAGCGAAATGCTTATTCTATTTGATTGTTTGTTTTATTGCATATTTCTGTGTTTTTCGTACTCTTTTCGTCAAGTTAATTCTTTTCTATTTCAGTTGCAAAATTTTATCTTTTATGATTTAACTTCAGAGGACGAAGTAATGTTTGGTACAGTAAAGTATATGGACAGCTTATTGCTCGACAACTTTCACGACTGCGTGATTCATTCAAACAGTTCATACGTGTCGATGATGGCCCTGAAACGAAAGTTTGATCCAGAATTTTATCCTTAGGTGCTATTTGTACACACTTTAGTAAATCCCTCCACTGATTTATTTCTGTTAACGTCGTCTTATTATATGGATCTGTACTAGTAGGTAGAAATTAATTTCGACACTTTTCCAATACACAGATTCAGTCATCTGACTACACTTCTTGTTTGGTAAATTGTTGTTATTATAATGTTCAGTGTTTTCATTTCATTACTAAATGCACTCCAATTCATGGTATTTGTTACTTAGTTCACTTATAAATGTTTCATTTCTCTTACACTGTCATATGAAATTTATTCTATTACAACTGCTAACGATCGTTTCGACGTCCAATGTCAAGTTAATCAGTGCTGCCAGTTGTTTATACTGCTAAGAGATTCTGTTTGTAATTCTGTTTTATACGATTATAACTTATTCCTCTCTCGAAACAACAAATGCGCGCTCATTTGGTTGAGGATCTTCCCTCAAAAGCCATGCTATGCGATTTACAAGATGATGATTTTCACACTCTTTTAAAATTTGGATATTAGATCCTTTCTAACAAGCTTACAAGACTTCCACTGAAATTCCTACATCCTTCATTCACTCCCGTTCAGAATTTTCACTTTCATAAGCTTTCTCGCTTATCATAATTGAGTGTTTTTTTTTTCGAGAACTGTCTATGTCTATTTTTTTCAATGGTGCATTTGAGAAAAAATTCCTTCATTTCGCGCTCCCTACTGCTGCATTTGTTTTATGTAAATTTGTTGCCATGTTGTCTCAAAAAATATTGATAGGTAAATTCTGAACTATCACTGTTATCAGGGTATCAGTCTGTCATCCTTTTTGGAATTAGCTGAAGGATTTGCACCTTGTTTTGCAGAAATCAGTGCTTTTTGTCTTAAAATTAGTCCCAGATTTGATTTCTAAATCTGAATTCTATTCCTATTTCATGCACTTTGAATTTGCGGGCTTCAATTAATTGATAAAATCAATAATTTCAATCTGAAATCTCGAATGTTCTAGAAATTTTACTTTTTGAAGAACTACTGAACATTCCATTTTATTGTCGGGGCAAAATATTTGTATCAAAATTAATAGGTTGCAATTAAAATGGATATTAGAGCATTTTTTTTTCGGTTGTGATTTCTCCAGGATTGCCGTCTTGACATGTTTGTCAATCTGATGACTTAGATGACCGGCACGTAGGTCAAGTTTACATATGAAATTAGAAGTTAGACATCTAGCCAAGTGTAAGAAATATCCCTATTGTTATCACATTTATATAATGTGAGATTTATCATCAAGGAACGAGTAGGTAGGTTGGTATGCCAAAGGAATGCATCTGTTCCCAATTCAGATTTCTCCAAGACGGAAAATAAGTAATCAATGCACGAAAGCTTTGCATAAGCAACGTTTCTGGATTTCTGGAAAGCAGTAGGAACGAATCGACTTGTGCTTGATTAGCCATTTGCAACATTTTTTTCCGAAGCATAACCACAGTACCGTTGCAAGTGACATCCAGTGTTAGTTCATCAAATTTACATCTAGGAAGCCAATTCAAACGATACCACGTTAATGTTTGCATCTCCACAACACAAATCTGCAACGAAATTTCTGAATTCATCATTATCATTTATTCTTTGTAATATTAAACCGGGAAAAGTTAGACTTAAACGGATGATATCAATCGATTGTTGAAAAGCAAGACTTCCCCGAGATCAGTACAACTCCATTTTTTCTGAGGAATTTGATACTTGCTTTTAAAACGGTCGACAAATTCCATCTACCGATTTTAGCAAGTCTGGATTGAGATTTTAGTCCAGTTTACTTCGGTAAGCTTGTAGATTAGCAAAAAAAAGTTGAATTGGAATGCCAAAATTTTCAGCGATGATTTTCGTAACGTGGAAATTACAGATGCCACTACTACTAGCAATTTTATAAATATTTTTTGGTAAATCACAGAACTATTTTTCTGGCAGTAATGAAAGTGATGTAGGAAACAAAGATGGGAATAGTGCTTCCAAGAAGTTATAGGAGCTTTTATCAGTTTTCGATTTCTTGAAGTTAAGATGCTAATCCATCAACAACGAAGTTTTAAATTTCCACTGATAAAGTTGCAACCAGAATTAGATGTTAGATACGAATGGAAAAAGAGATCTTAAAATATTCAAAATGAGATCAAAAATGAATATAACATCTTGAAAAAGACGAGAAGAAATTAATAATTGTTTTTAGATCCTTTAAGGTCAGGATATTAGCAAGCAAGATTTCAGATAGTTAGAGTCTTCTTCCTAAGAACTGAATGACATTACCGATGGGATCATAACTTTCTTCTTGCACCCTTTCTCGCTGCATATACCATTAAAATTTCTTAGTTACTTTTCTTTCAAATATTTCAGAACCAAAACGAACATCCCATGAAAGCAATGACAAAAACTGACGCTCGTATGAACGTTAAGGATGGAAATAAATGGTAAACATGTAAGCACCTCACAACGAGCAGTATCCTGATTAAGGGTATCGTAGGGTTCTACAAACTCCGCTATTATCCATAGCCATCCATCTCGTCCCACGTGTTTCACGCGTCTGATAAGCGTAGTGAGACCTGTCACTTGCGGTGGTGTTGCATCCTGTGGTAGTCCTTGTTCTAATTGTTGCTGAACAGCTGGTAAACTGCTCTCAATAATGCCTGTTGCTTTTGTTCGTACAATCTCCAGTTCACCAGTATGCAAATTGGCCCGAACTAAACGGCCTGTTAAATACTTCATTTCTGCATAGGTTGTTATTGAGGCACTTTCAAATAAATACATATAGTTACCGTCAACCCAGGGTTGACCGCAAAAACGCAAGCCAGACATGCGTGCAGTGAGGATGACAGACCGCATTGGTGTATCCAAACCAATCTGAGCCACGTAAAAATTTCGGACTTGATCATGCTGGGACATGAAAATGATGCCTCGTTCAGAAGAGGCTCTTGCGGAACTCCAGAAGTGTGAGTTGTTGTTCAGTTGATAAAAGAGGGTTTTTCGAATTCGGATTAGTTCCTGAGAATGATCAAATCGAACTGCATAGACGTGGAAGCATCCGGAACTGCAACATACCAGTATTCCTTCCAAATAGTCGATCTCATATAGATGTTTCATCTGTAAAGAAGGTGGAAAGTTGATGACTGAGTAGCGTCGTGCTACTCCTCGATGTAAATCCCATACATAGAGTTGAGACCGCAATTCCGTGGGATCCTCACCGATGACATATACATATCGTGCGTCTGTGCTCACCGAGTAATGATAAGTTATGCTTGGATAAATTAAATTCTCGATTCTCTCATCCGCTAATGGGAAAATTTTTCGTGCTGTACAACGGATAGTCCCATTATTTTGCTTATTTTCGTTTTTTCTAGCCATATCATTGTTGACAGAATTATGACCATTGTTCCCCAGTGCCGAGTCAATCATTTCGTTCAGATTCGAAAGCTAACTTGATTCCTTGCTCTAAAGATTAATAGCTTATCCAATACAGTTTACGGTGTGAGATTTAAATTTATCTGCTGGAATTGATGAATTCATCCATCTGTGTCAAACAGACAGATGATACTGCTTTTAGAGTAATACAAATATTGTTATCAACTTCCTTTACACATAAGTTCAAGTTGATTTTGGAAATTTGAAAATGTCTGTTGGAATGATCTCCATGGACATCTCAAAACAGTTCACAGTGAACATCTTGACCTAGTACAATTCTGAAGGCATTTCATGCCAGCAACTGTTCATGAATAACTTACTATTGGTGTAAGTTGATTGAACTTGCGTGCATTGCCTAAAATTTAATAAGACACTGCCACTTTATATACCGATTGTATTAAATTAAAATGATTCAGTATGTTCTGCGACATTTCTTTTATAATCGATTCTTTCGGAAAAATGGAAGAAACACGAAAAGTGTCATGCAATTTTTAAGGGAAAATTTGATTCACTACTTAAGGAAACTCTTTCATAACAACAATTCATTTTAGCTTATTTACTTTGTATTTTACGGTCGCACTTTCGTTAAGGTTATTTATTAACCTCTGTGATTTAAATCTTTTCATCGATCTCTTATTGATATAAAATAAGGACAGATAAGGAAAGATGTAAGATTTCCATCGGCCGATGATCTATTTTCTTCAGTTTTTTTTCACTAATCTGATTTTCTTGGCTTATTTTTGGAAATTTTCTCCTAAAACTATACAAAGAAATAAATTGTAGATCGAATGGATATTACTAAAAATGGATTCGTGGCAGTTACAGCAATTATTGGCGGCATAATAACCATTGCACTTTCAAACATTTTATACTGTGCCAGAAGACAAAGCGCTAGAAATAGAAAAGGTTTAGTAAATAACTATTGAAATCATTAAAATCTAATTGTAAAATAAATTTAGTATTGAAGAAAAATGGTTATCAAACGATCAGCAATTTCCCTGCGACAACATAGCTGAAACATCCACATTGTCCAAATGTCAAGATGGACTAAATTTGAATTGGAAAAATTCAGGCCAAAGCATGGACACTTCAAGAGAGAAGGTTTTTTTGGCTGGTCATTATTTTTGCAAATTATCATTCTAATCAATCTAAATGTTGTGATTTCATTTTCAAGTCTTATCATTTTCATTACTGTTATTTATTATCATTATTTATTATTATTATTATTATTATTATTATTATTATTATTAATTATTATTATTATTAATTATTATTATTATTATTATTATTATTATTATTATTATTATTATTATTATTATTATTATT